GGTCGTGGTCGTCGTGGTCGTTGCAGTCATTGTCGTGGTGGTGGTGGTCGTTGCGGTCGTGGCCGTGGTCGTCATGGTTGTAGTTGGCTGGGTCGTCTTGGTCGCAGTCATGGTCGTCTTCGGCGTCGTGGTTTGTGATCGTCGTGGTCGTCGTGGTCGTCCTTGTCGTCGCCTCTCTCCCTGGGTCCTGTCCGAGCGAGGCCCCTCTTCTCCCGCATGCTGCTTTCCAGCGTGCAGGATGTCAATCATGTTTCCATCCTATTTTTTCCCCGTGAGTTCGGGAGAAGGGGAAGGAGAGCAGAAGGGACGCTGCGGACAGAGCCAAAGACCTTGCGCGTCGTCCCTCCCGTAGCATGTCTTCCTCTAACCAGGACGTCTCCTCCAGTCTTTCAAAGTGGTGCTCCCGCTGCAGCGTTGGCTGAATTTCAGGGGTCGGCGCTGTCCCCCGCCCGACTCGAGACTGGCGCTCTCGCCCGAGCGCGGGGCGGCTGCCACTTCTGTCTCCGACTCCTCCTTCGTCGTTGTCGCCCCCCTCCTTTCCCTTCCTCTGCCTTCCCCTGCGAGGGGCCCCCGATAGTGAATTCGCACGTTCCTGGGCAGGCTGGGGCTATCCGGCCCCTATCGGCGATCAATGGGCGATCGGGAGTCGATGCGTCCCCTCCCTGTGCCTACCCCCTTCTGTCGCTGTCCCTGGCGGTCCTTCCGCCCCTCCCGCTCCTCCCTGCTCCTGCTGCTGCTGCTCCTCCTCCTCCGCCACCTCCCCCCCCCTTAGCCTTCCTGATCCTCCTCCTCTTCCTCCGTCTCTGAAGGGGCCCAGGGACACACAAACAAACAGACACACGCTCCAGGATTCCCCATCTTTTCCAGCTCTCCTGGATCTTACTCTTCCCCTTCCACCTCCTGGATGCGCCACATCTTCCTGGGCATCGACGACTCTTTGTGCCTGTGTGTGACTGTTTTTTTTCCCTCCTCCTTCTCCTCCTCCTGCCCACCCGCGCGCTCCGCAACCATCCTGGCTCAAACCATTTTGGCTCGAGAGGGATGAGGGGCAATACTTCGGGGGTACTAAAGTTTTTGACCATAAGATGAGAATTGCCTCGCTGGTCACGCGTGCCGCGGAGGACCGATCAGGATGCAAAGGTGCCTTGATGCGGATTCGCGAGCCTTTGTGGGCCCTCTGGGACGGCCAACCAGTGAACCGAGAGCGACCGCATCGGAGAAGGATGCCCAGGGTCTCACAGCATCAATGCAACAAGGAATACAATGAAACATCGCGTTGGAATGATAAGGACAGGGTCGATGGGGATGATGACGCGGACGATCAAACGTGACCCAAGCGGAGTGGTTTATTGTGAATGGGTTCAAGTCGGAGTGTTTTCCGGCCCTATTGTAAATGGGACGGAGTAATTATCACCCTGTTTTAAATATATATATATATATATATATATATTATTATATTCTTACAGGGTGAGAGCCCATCGGAGTCGAACCGCCGCCCGACCCAAAACATGTCGCTAAGATTCTACGGGGGGGCAGGGGGCGTCGACAGCATGACGTCTTATGGTCAAAACTATAGTACCCCCCGTGTAATAGGGGGGGATAGGCAAAGGGGGGGATGCATCGACCTGGAATCGGCGATACATCGTCGACAGATCGGCGATAGGCCCCCGATGGTGAATCCGCACCTTCCTGGGCGGGGTGGGGCTATCGGGCCCCTATCGGCGATCAATGGGCGACTGGGGGGCGATGCATCCCTCCTATGCTTCTGTTGCTCCCATCGTACTTAAGGACCACATGTCAGAAATAATTTCGAGCACCCGGAAAAGTGTCGAAAGAGTGTCGAAACAGTGTCGGACGAGTGTCTCCCAGGGCCCGGCACGTGAACATCCTAGAGCTGCTGGATGCTTTTCTGGCGCTCGACATTCTTTCTGGCGATCAAAGCTAAAGTCGGCTGGAACATCATAACCCTGTGCCTACTATCCCCCCCGTGTCGTTGTCCCCGAGGGGAGCCAACTTTCGGGGGGCCCTCGCCGGCGCTGCACCCTCCGCGGCGGGCTCGGGGAGGGACGGGCGCTGGGCGGCCACGTCCGGTCAGAAAGGGCGCGCGAAGCGGGCGGCACCGTCGGCCGCGCTCCCACGAGGTCGAGGAAGTGGGGTCGGGCATGCCCTCCTACAGGCGGATCCTGGAAGAGGAATGACCAGTAGTCAAATCATGGTAAACCTAGCCAGGAAAGAGCACGACACATCGTCACCAGACTATTCCTTACTCTTCCTGAACATTCCTCCTGTATGGGGACATGCCCAGCTTGACAGCAAAGGCCGCCCCCAAGAAGGCCCCTCCTCCGCCTCCTCCTCCTGCCCCTCGCCGCCACATCGTGCAAGAGCTGGGGCACGCGTGCCGCTTGCCGTGCTCCTGAGGCCGCCCGAGGAGGGGGAGGCGACCGCAAGAGCGCGCCACTGCACGGCACGGGGCGGCGCCAACCACGCCTGGAGGAGGAGGAGGAGGAGGAAGAGGAGGAGGAGGAGCAGGAGCAGGAGGAGCAGGAGGAGGAGGAGGAGGAGGAGAGAGGAAGGAGGAGGAGGAGGTGAGTAGGAGGAGGAGGAGGATGAAGAGGAGGAGGACGAGGAGAGGGGAGGAGGAGGAGGAGGAGCCGGGCAGTCTTGCCCCGAACCGCCACCGCCTTTTCGCCCTCCCGCGCCGCTCCTCTGGGGAGGGGCACCTCCCCGGCCCAGCTCCGCGCAGCACGGAGCGAGGCCCGCCCGCCCCCGCGCGCTCCACGGGCCGGGCCAGCGAGGGCTTCGAGAGGAGCAGAACTCCTCCTCTTGCTCCTCCTCCTCCTCCTCCTCCTCCTCCTCCTCCTCCTCCTCCTCATCCTCCCCTCCTCCTCCTCCCCCTCCTCCCCCTCCTCCCCTCCTCCTCACTCTTCCTCTCCTCCTCTCTCCTCCTCCCTCCTCCTCCTCCTCCTCCCTCCTCCGCCTCCTCCTCCTCCTCCTCCTCCTCCTCCTCCTCCCCCTCCTCCACCTTCTCCGCCTTCCCCTCCCCCTCCCCTCCACGGAGTCGGGCCGGCGATGGCCGCGAGAGGAGCAAGAACGGGGTGCCCCGCCAGGGTGCAATTTTCTCCGCTTCGGCGGGCGGCAGATGGCTCGTCGCAGCCGCAGTGTTTGGCACGACGTCCCGCTTGCTGTGCTCGCCGTGACCACAGCCCAGGTGCCGACACGGCACGCGGGCATATCCGCCACCGTGCCGCTGGGCAGTAACCGTTGCGTATCGCAAGCGCTCTTGAGGGGCCTTAGACCGCTGGATATTCCAGACTCCTGGGCGCTTCTGGAGTGCGCTCGTCGCGTGGCCCTGTCCCGACGCCAGAGCGCCCCACGACGGTCCTGGAGGCTTCTCAGAGGGCCTCAAGACGGTCCAAGGAGGTGTCGAGACGGCCTAAGAGGGATCCAAGACGACCCAAGATGCCCCCAAGAGTCCCCCACAAGCGAAGCGAGAGTGACCCTAGGCAAGAGTGACCTTTGGTGCACGGCTTTGGGGGACCGCGGGGAGGCCAAATCCAAGCGCGCAAGCAAGTGCGGGACCCCTGCGCGCTCTTTGTCTGGCGAAGGGTAAAGCTTACGCGTAGCCGAAATATGCTCCAGCATATCTTAAAGGCGCACCAACAGGGCTCCAGGAGGACCTCGTGGAGGTCCTGTGAGGTTTATCGATCGCCGTGCTCTCGCCTGTCCGGGCCTCAGAACGCCCACCAACGGCGCGAGAGGCCTCCGAAACCGCCCCAAGGAGGCCCAAAAGGCCCGACGAGGGCCCCAAGAGGCCCCCAAGAGGGGGGGCCACGATGGGGGACCCGACCGGTCACTTGGGGCCCTTCCCTCCAGTCTGGCCCTCGAGACGGGTTGCAGGCCCCAAAGACGCCCCAAGGGAAAGGCCCCCCAAGAGCCCTCCAACAGGCCCCGAGCGGCATCCCAAGAAACACCGAGGGGCATCCAAGACGCCTCTGGCCCACGACCCAGGCACAGCGGCGGGACGGGCCGAAGGCCATATCCTTCTCTTCCTCCTTCTCCTCCCCCTTCTCCTCCTCATCCTCCTCGTCCTCCCCCTCCTCCTCCTCGTCCTCCGTCTCCTCCTCCTCCTCCTTCTCCTCGTCCTCGTCCTCTCCTCCTCCTCCTCCTCCTCCTGCTCCTCCTCCCCGCTCCTCCTCCTGCGCATCCATCTGGGAGCGCCAAGGCTTTCCTCAGCGGTTCTGGGAACACATGGTTCGACAGCTTGGCCAGCCTCGATCCCAACGTCTGGCCAACACCATGCGCCTCCAGGCAGGCGGGAATGGCGTTGGCTCGTCGGAGCCGTCTTCGATGCCCTCCTCCTCGTCCTCGTCCTCGTCCTCCTCCTCGTCCTCCTCCTCCTCCTCCTCCTCCTTCCCCTCCTTTTCCTCTTCCTCCTCCTCCTCCTCCTTGCTCCTCTCCTCCTACTCCTCCTCCCTCCTCCTCCTCCTTCCCCTCCACCCCCCCCCCCCCCCCCCCCCCTCCCCCTCCCCCTCCTCCTCCTCCTCCCCTCCTCATCCTCCTCCTCCTCCTCCTCCTCCTCCTCCTCTCCCCTCCTCCTCCTCCTCTCCTCCTCCATCCTCCTCCTCCTCCTCCTCCTCCTCCTCCCCCTCCCCCTCCCCCTCCCTCCACACCCCCGCCTCCTCCTCCTCCTCCTCCTCCTCCTCTGCCTCCTCCTCCTCCCCTCCCCTCCTCCTCCTCCTCCTCCTCCTCTTTCCTCCTCCTCCTTCTACCTTCTCCTGCTCTGCTCCTAGCTCCTGCTTCCTGCTCCTCCTCCTCCTCCTCCGTCCTCCCCTCCTCCTACTCCTCCTCCTCCTCCTCCTCCTCCTCCTCCTCCTCCTCCTCCTCCTCCTCCTCCTCCTCCTCCTCCTCCTCCTCCTCCTCCCCTCATCCTCTACCTGGAGGCACGGGGAAGGGAAAGGGCGGCCTATCCCTCCCCCCCCGGCGAAGGCGCCGGCAAAGGCCTCCAGGCCCAGGTCTCGGTGTCGCTCGAGCGTGGCCTCTGGGGCGCCTGGCTGGGGCGCGCGCCCGTGCAGGCCAGACGTGCGGGAGGGCCGGGAAAAGTCGGCGACGGCAAGGGGATGCGGAACGCGCCGTGGTTCTCCACAGGGTGCAGAGGTTGGGCGGCGAGCGAGGGGGGCAAGTGGGAAGGAGAAGGCCGTCTCAAAAGGCGGCGGGGCTTCTCAGAAGCCCTCGCCTTCCCCCCAGGCCCGCCGCCCAGGTGCACCACGACCAGTCGTGGGCGAGAAGCGTTTTTTCGTGTCCGCAGCCCCGCGGGCTCGGGGCCCCTGCGCCGCGACGCAGTGGGGGTGCGGGGCGCTCTTTCGCGGAGGCCCCGCGCGGAGCGCGTCCGCGCGACCGCGCCCCGGCATGCAGACCGCGAGGGCGCGGATACGGATAGGCTCACCGCGTCAGCGGCCCAGGCGCGGCGCACCTGCCTCCCTCGGGCCACGCCGCCAGGCTGCGGGCGCGCATCCTGAGGCCCGGGCGACGGCCGGACTCGGCCTGGCCGTGGTGGCGCTGGTGCACACTGTCTCTTGCCGAGGGCTCGCCTCCCCAGACCTCCGCCTTCGTTCGATCATTCGCTCGCATCTGTGATCTGGTGGTACGCTACACCTGCTACACCTGCTACGCTGCCACGCATGCGACCCTGCGGAACCCGCCACACTTCGGAAACTCAAAGTCTCTGCCAGCAGGCGCATAGGCTCGCACGAGAGATGCAGCACAAGGGGGGGAGACACACGCGCGCAGAGGGACGGAACGGGGAAGGCACGGGGCAGGCGAGGCGGAGGACAGGAGGGAGGGCGGGGGATTACCGGAGCGGGAGGGAGAGCACGGCTCTCTCCAGACCTCCGCCTGCTGCGTCTTCCGCGCCCTCTCGGAGGGTGGAGGTCGAGGATTGTGGACGCACCCAGTCGGGACGGGTAAGGTCTGTTCGACGTGTGCCGCCCCGAGCTGCGGCGATCAGTTGTACATCGGGTGCGTGGTGTGGAATCGGGTTGGCATGGAGCTGCGTCAGATGAGGCTCATGCCAAACAACACATACCAAACTTGTACTTGAACTCATTTGGGAAACTGTTCGCCAAACCGGAACTCTCTAGATGTGCGTGTGTGTGTGTGTGTGTGTGTGTGTGTGTGTGTGTGTGTATGTGTGTGTGTGTGTGTGTGTGTGTGTGCGTGTGTGTGTGTGTGTGTGTGTGCGTGCGTGCGTGTGTGTGCGTGTGTGTGTGTGTGTGTGTGTTTGTGCTTGTGTATGCCCTGTCGCTGCGCGCGGGGCCGCGACGCCAAAACATATATATATGTGTCCTCTCTGCGCGCGGGCCGCTTGCCCGCTCGTCGTATGCGTCCTTGGCCTCCCGGTTTGGCCAACTCCCCTGCGCTGCATTCGTCCTCCGTCCTGGGTGGCTGCCGTGGCCGCCTCCCCGCTGCGCCCCGCCTTACTGCTCTGGCTTGCCACGGTCGCCATGCCTCGTCTTTCCCCCTTTCCCTTCTCTTCCCGTCTTTCCCCCGTCTGTCCCCTCGCGACCGCCCCCCGTGCGTTTGGCTATGGGTGGATCCAACTTCTCCTTGCTGCGTGAGACGGACCGGTACGTGCACTCGCTCGACCTGTTCTACGCCGCACCGCCGCGCGTGGCCGCGACGCCAACAAGGTGTGTGTGTGTTGTGTGTGCGAATGCAAATGTACAACTTTATGTTACATAAGCCATGACGTATGACACGACATTGTCTATTTCCAAGCTGCACCTGAAGTGAATCAGCGGAACTGCCTCAAGCGAACCCGACTCAGGGCAGGCTTGATTAGTGTAGTATTGGCCTGGCTACGTTACGCTGATCAGTGGCAATCGTCGATACGCAAATCAAGGCCAAGCTCAATTAATCACCATACGCAAGCTGCGGTAAACTTAGTTCGATGGGGTGCAGCGAATCGCCCCTCTCGCCTACCCAAGCGGGCCTGATAAGATGCTCCCACGACTTTGAGGCTATTTTGAATCAAGGTGGTGCTGAGTGTGACTGCGTACTCACGTAACGAACGAGACTGAAGCAGAACTCGAGCCAGAAATCAGACACAGTCCAGGGGTGGCACATCTAAGTGTTAAAGTCGATCTCGGATAGACCACGCTCCGCATCACCAGGGGGGCATGCCAAGTCTGCCGATCCCCGTTTGCCAGGGGTGAGATTGCGTGTAAGATGTTGGCTGCCCCCCCTCCCCCTTTTCCCCTCTCCAGGATCCCAAATCTCGTTGAACGGGGTGATGAAGTGTTTTTCTGTTGAGGGGTCGATCTCACCGAAGCGCAACGGTGCCCTCAGAGCCTCGGCATTTCCAAGACGTCCAGCAGTCCTCCAGCATGGGTCCAACAGGGCTCTAACACGTCCGCGATACCCAAAGAACGCCGAAGCATGTCACAAGAGCGGCCGCAGACATGAACCATAGAAGAACAATCACAATCTTTCAATGTTTTTTGCCACCTCGCCTTATTGCTTCCAGACGTCTCCGAGAGGTTCCCAGAGGCCTCCAGGCGGCCCCCAGGCAGCCCAAGATGTTCTCCCGATGTCCCCCAATGGCCCCAGAGGTCCTAAACGCACAAGCGTTGCTCCAAGACTGCCCACGACCAGGACGGCTCTCAGACTCCTCCACGCGGGGCCAATAACGCTCCAAAGCAACGCCAAGATCCTGGAAGGGATGCTAAGCTGACCCCAAGAGGCCTCAAGAGAGCCCCATTTGGCCCCCAAAAGACTAAACAAGGCCCGCGGGGGCCACCTGTCTCCCCTCCCACCGTTGACAATACCGTAGTGTACTATCAAGGTTGGCCATTCGAGGCTCGCGCTCTCACCGTTCTTCACCTCCATTGCTCCGACTCCCATCCTCTCCTCCTCCGACTTTGAAGCTCTCAGTCGGGGGGGGCAGGCCTGGGGGGAAACGTCGAGCTTGAACTGGCGATGCATCGCCAACAGATCGGCCACAGGCACCCCTTAGCGAGACCGCACGTTCCTGGGTGGGGTGGGCCATCGGGCCCCTATCTCGCCATCGCTCGGACGTCCATTCCCTGTGTTTTTTTCGGTTTCGCGCGTGGTTTTTTCGGCAGATGGTCAAGGATGCTCCTCGATGGTCCTCGCCGAGGAAAAAAACGCACACGTCCGAGCGATGGGCGGTTGGGGGTCGATGCGTACAATTACCCCCTGAGCCGATCCCGCCCCCTGACGTTGCTCGGAGCAGGGCGAGTCGAGACCACGGCAGCTCGAAGTCGATCTCCACCAGAGCCATCAGGGGTCAGGCGCACCAATTGTCCAGGCTGCGTCCAACTGTGGCGACGAGGCCCCCCCCCCAAGAAGGCCGACTACCCTTAGGTCGGACAACGGCAGCTCGAAGTCGATCTCCAGAGCCATCCAGGGGTCAGACGCACCAATTGTCCAGGCTGCGTCGGACTGTGGCGACGCCCCCCCCCCCCCCTAAGAAGGCCAACTACCGTTAGGTCGGGCATGTCCTGCTGCAGGCGGATTTTGGACGAAACATACCAAAGCCGTCAAAACATACTTAAACACGGTGACAAAGAATCAAGACATCGTCCCCAGACTGCTTTCAAACTCTTCTTGGACACTCCTCCTGTGAGAGGGACATGCCCGCCTCCAAAAACGACCGTTGTCTCAACTTGCCCCACCCCCGAAGCGTCGCCCCCGAAAGCGTCGCGGGCCTGATCAACCAGACACGGCAGCGCCGGCCCTCGGCAGGCGGCGGGGTGGGGGGGGGGGGCGGGCACGCCTGAGGCCGCGGGCGACGCTGGCCACCGCGGGGCGCCGTGCCCCCGCTGGGGCGTGTGCTCCGGCGCGGGCGTCTGGGTGCGTCTTTTTTTTGTTTTGTATTTTTTCCCCCTCTTTTTGTTTGTTTGTTATTTTGCGTATGCGCTGTTGTTCCCCTCCCCCCGTCCGTGTTTCCCAGAGCAATGCTTGCGCCTGGGGGTGCTCGCGTGGCTTCCCAGAGCAAGCTGGATGGACAATGGTGCCGGGTCTTCGCCGCGCTGCCGACCTTGTGGCCGCCCTGCGGGCGGCCCCGCGCTTGGGGAGGTGTGTGTGTGTGTGTGTGTGCGTGAGTGTGGGGTTTTAGCCACGCTGCCGCCTGCGCAGCCTCGTGGGCGTTCCGTGCTCTGAGCTTGAACGGCGTGGCCTTCACCACCGCATAGCTTCCACCGCACCGATTGCACAACACAGCTTGCATCGCATAGCTTGCAAACCTCATTCCATAGCTTTCATCCCGAATTCACACCGCCTAGTTTACTCGACATAACTTGCACCACACACCCTGCACCGCGTAACCCCCTCCTCCAAAACTCCCAACACATAGCCAACACCGTGTAGCATTTACCGCAAAGGTTATATCGCGCCTCTGCAATAACGCACTGTTTGGGGTCCACGTTCACTAACATGTTTTGGAACATTATCCGGGACAAGCGGAGAGAGCGGACCTTCCGGCGGCTAGGCAACTCGGTGTGGCACCAGGCGCTGTGTGCCGAGGCCGCCCCCCCTCTCCCCGCAAGGGCGGCCGCAGAGCAGGCGGTGCCGCGAGGCGAGGCGAGAAACGGGCCGTAGTGCCCGGGGGCACCCTGCTGTGGCACCCTCTTGAGGGCACCGCGCGTCTCAGGGCAAACCAGCACTTGTCCTCGAGTGGCGGCGGCGCACGCCCGCGCGCCGCCGCCGCCTCGCCGCCACCGCACACCGTCCGGGCGCAGGGCCGAGCACCGTCCTGGCAGAAGCACTGCCGGAGGTGGCCAACGCCTGCGCGCGGGCACGCCCGCGCGCCGCAGCACCTCGCCGCTCTGCCGCCGCCGCCGCCGCCGTCCACCGCCCAGCGTGCGCTGCCGAGCACCGTCCTGGAAGAAGCACTGCTGAGGGGGACCGGCATCTGCGCAGCGGCGGGCATGGTCGTGCACAGCCCCGGTGGTGCAGCTCGAGGCACGGGGCCACCCCGAAGACTGCCCCAGGCCTCACCCTCCGTCTCCGCTCTGCCGCCGCCGCCGCCTGAGGAGGCACTCGCCTCGCCCCCCTCTGGGCTTCCTCCCCCTCGCTCCTCCCTGCCTTCTCCTCCTCCTCCTCCTCCTCCCTGCCTCCTCCTCCTCCTCGCCCTCCTCTCCTCCTCCTCCTCCTCCTCCTCCTCCTCCTCCTCCTCCTTTTCCTTTTCCTTTTCCTTTTCCTCCTCCTCCTCCTCCTCCTCCTCCGCTAAGGTTCCTCACCCTGGCTCCTCCTTGCCCCTCTCCCCGCCTGTGCCCTCCCCGTCCTGCAGCCTGTCCTCGTGTCCTCGTCCCCCTCCTCGGCACCGTCCTCCTCCTGCTCCTCCTACCCCCCCTCGCCCTCACCCCTGCTCTCGCTCCTGCTCTCCTCCTCCTCCTCTTCTTCCTCCTCCTCCTTCTCGTCCTTCTCGTCCCCCTCATCTCCCTTCCTCGTCGTCCACCTTCTCGCCCTCGTCCTTCTGCTCTTCGTCCCCCTCTTCCTCCCACTCGTCCCTGCCCTCGTCGCAGACTGCGACGTGCTGCCGCCCAATTGGCATCGACATCCCGCGGAGGGCAGGGGCGCTTCCTCTCGCCCCTGCAGGGAAAGCTGCGGCTGCTGCTGCTGTTGCTCCTCCTTCGCCTTCTTCTCTGGCTTCTCCTCCTCACCCTCCTCACCCTCCCCTCCTTCTTCCCTCCTCCCACTTACTGCCTCCGTCCCTTCTTCTTCTTCTTCTGCTCCTTCTTCCTCCCTACGATATCATCATCATCATCATCATCATCATCATCATCATCATCATCATCATCATCATCATCATCATCATCATCATAATCATCATCATCATCATCATCATCATCATCATCATCATCATTATCAGTATCAGTATCAGTATCAGTATCAGTATCAGCATCAGTATCAGTATCAGTATCAGTATCATCATCACCATCATCACCATCATCATCATCGCCACTATCATCACCATCATCACCATCACCATCACCGTCACCATCATCATCATCATCCTCATCCTCATCCTCATCCTCATCACCACCGTCACCATCACCACCATCATATTAGCATCATCAGCATCATCAGCCTCATCATCACCACCACCATCATCATCATCATCATCATCAACATCATCATCATCACTATCATGATCGTCATTGTCATCATTACCATCGCCATGAACCACCTTCATGATCATGTTCACCATGGTTTCCATCGTCACCAATATAATGATCATACACATCATCACCGTCACCAACACCATCATCGCCATCGCCATCGCCATCACCACCACCCACGACACCGCCACCGCCATCGCCATCGCCATCGCCATCGCCATCGCCATCACCATCACCACCACCAGTGTCGACACCGTCACCAACACCAACACCAACACCAACATCATCACAATCACCAACACCAGCACCACCGGCATCGGCACGACATCGACACCGTCACCGTCACCATCGTCACCACCACCGCCGCTGCCGCCCCCGGCCCGATGGGGCGCCTCCTGCTGCCCCGGCGCCCGCCGCTCGCGGGAAGGCGCCCCGCCCAGCGAGCGACTGCGGCCCGCGCCGACCGCGGGGCCGGCGGCGGCAGGGGACCTCCGGCGCACTCCCAACGGGCGCTTCTTCTCCTCCTCCTCCTCCTCCTCCTCCTCCTCCTCCTCCTCCTCCTCCTCCTCCTCCTCCTCTTACTCCTCGCACATAGCTCGGTGAACTCCTCCTCCTGTTCCTCCTCCTCCTCCTCCTCTTACTCCTCGCACATAGCTAGGTCAACTCCTCCTCCTGTTCCTCCTCCTCCTCCTCCTCCTGATTGTCGAAGGGCGGGCTGGGCGTTTCGCCTGAAATTTCTATCATTACAGAGCCGGGAGCTCAAGAACTGGAAACAGTTTCACAGACGGAGGGCGGGGCGCTTCCAAAATGTGGCTCTCGCATTAGCGTCGTGGATATTCGTTTCAAACATTTGCAAGAAGTTCGTGGTTTGAGGACGAGTCGCTTTCATTCAAAATGTGGCTCTCGCCTTAGCGCGGCATATTCGTTTCAAGCAAGAGTTTCACGGATTGAGGCCTCAAGAGAGCCCGAAGACGGCCCAACACAGCCCCAAGACGGCACAAGAGGGCCCCAAGACGGCCCCAGGGGCCCCTGAGACGGCCCACGAGGGCCCCGAAGAGTGCCGAGGAGGAGCAATACGAACTGACATCTCGAGCCTTTCCCCCCGTCGCGGCCCCAGAAGCCCCCCAGAGACCCCTGAGGCGCCCCCCAAAGCCCACCAACCGGGCCCCCGAAAGCCAACCAGATGCCCCCGAAAGACCCCTAAGGTGCCCCTGAGAGACGATCCAAGAGATCGCCGTATCCATCCTAGAGGCTCTTCCTCAAAGCTCCCAGCCAGGTCCACTAGCCCACCAGGAGCTGACAAACGGCTCCCCAGAGCCTCCTCCGGACGCCTCCCAGAAGCCTGTAAGCAGCTCAGTGACAAAATCCAGCAGCCCTCCTTGCACCCCTAAGTTCCATCTTTCATCCCTCCGCCCTCCTCCTTCCCACCTCCGCTCGTCCTCCTCCGCCTTCTCCTCCGCCCTCGCGGGCGTGAAAAAGCACCCCCCCCACTCCAGCTCCAACATAGCCAACCGAACGCCCCGGACGCCTCTACTCCGCTGGGGGTCGGCGGAATGGCGTAAGCCAATTGGATACGACGAGGAGCAGGAGGAGGAGGAAGACGAGGAGGCGGAGGAGGAAGACGAGGATTGGTGGGTTGGGACGCAACGTGCGAACGACTTCTGACTGCGATGCTCGACCTGCGACAAATACTTTGGCCTCTGCTGATTAGGTGGATGGGGGAGCGGAGCGAGGAGGAGGACGAGGAGGGGGGAGGTGTCGTCGTTTCCCAGTTCTTCTGTCTTCCCGAGCCCACCCTCGCACCTGAGAGCTATCTTCCTCCGTCGCCCCTCGGCGTTGGCCAGAGGCGGGGGGATTTGATGGCATCGGAGCTCGCTCGAACCTGCCCACAGCGTCAGCGTCAGGAGGAAGGAGGAGGGGCAGGCTGGGGAGGACGAGAGCAAACCCAAAGAGGCATCAACGATGCGGCACTACCCAGCGGTCGTGAGAAGTCGGTAGAAACATGAAGTAGGAAGGCGTTGAAAACAGATTGGGTGTCCGCCCGCCCCCTAAAGAGGACGGAAAGGGTGAAGCCACTCGATCACTGAAGCAGGAAGGCGCTCAGAGCAGATTGGAATCTGGGGCTCCATGAATACCTACCCTCAACGACCGATGGGTACACCCTCCCGTCCCAGGCACCCTCCTCGCAAGTCCCCGTAAGCGCCCCTCCGCGCTGCAGGAAGTGCCCCCCCGGAGGCACCACCACCGTGTGGGCCCGCCACTTAGGCGAGAGCTCCCTCTCGAGAAGGAGCTGCCCTACATCTAGGTCGGGCATGTCCCCCTGCAGGCGGATCCCCGACGGAAACTTAAACGTAACCCTAAAAGGCTCAAACACGGTCAAACAATACTAGAAACGTCGTCCCCATATTCTGATATGACTATTTTTTGAGATTCCTCCTGTAGACGGACAGGCCCGACTTGACCCTACATCCTTCCAGAACACAGGATGGAATGCTAACATGCTCATGCGGTTGGGCGAGGTGTCCAGCAAGATCTCGTTTCCAGAGCGGAGCGCTTCCCCCTCCCCCCATCGGCGTAATTGGCGCAGAAAGCTTGCTGACTCTCTGGCCATGCCTTCGAGGAGGTCTCCAGCGAGCACGCCCATCTTGAAGAGGAGCCGCCCTCCACCCGAGCAGCCGTTGCGCACGCTCCAACTTCTGGCCTGACGCCCAAAGAAGTCTCGGGCGGACGCCCCCGTTTCGAGAAGGGGCCGCCCTGCGTCCCGGCAGCTGCTGCAGCACGTCAAGGCGAATGTGCGTGGCGCCGAGGCGAGAGCCCTGCTTTGGAAAGGAGTCGCCCTACACCCTGCGAAATGCTTAAGAAATCATGGGTTAAGAAATTCATAGTCTCAGAACTTGAATAGAAGCCCAGAATTTCCATCGAAATCTTAGGATGTACATGGAAACATTAAGAATAATCGAGACTCTGGCCGAAAACTTGGGTTTTCTTAACCATCGCCTAAGGTGTACATCCTTGCAGCTGCTACAGACGTATAAGACGAACGAGCGCGGCGCTACGGCGAGAGCCTCGTTTTGAAGACGACCCCCCTCTATCCTTGCAGCTGCCGCCGACTTGTCGTGCGAGTGTGCGAGGCGCTAGGGCGAGAGCACCATCTCAAACACGACCTCTCTCCATCCTTGTAGCTGTTGCAGACTGACAAGACGAATCAACGGAGGCGCTAAGGCTAAGGCGAGACCGAGATTCCCCCCTCCATCCGTGCAGCCTTTGCAAATTTCAATGTCTCAGGCGAAACACTCACAACCCTCCACCAGCATCGAGGCGAAGGCTATCCTCAGAGGTCTTTGGCAGGGCCTGCCAATCATGTGGCCTGTCCCGAGCGAAACCTTCCTACTTCCTACCAATTTTACTCCAATCACGACTGGCACCCAACACTTTGTCCTACTGTCTCCACACCACTTACCGACACCTCGGCATCCACCTTTCCCCCCACCGGTACGCACTCACTGCCGCCTGACAGCGGCAGCAGCAGCGGACCACGACCCAGAATACAGGCAGCGAGGGTCTCTGCTCTCCACCTGTAGCGACGACACAGCACCCCACCTCATGACCTCTATACCAAGCAGCGAGCACAAGCCGGTGCGACATAATGTACCCTCTTCGTCCACCTCTCTACGGCCACGTTTTGCATGTGGGTCCGCGGTTGCACAGGGCTCCCAAACCCGCCGCGGCTTTTCCACACACAGCATGGGATGTGCGGTGGTTAGACAGGGCTGCACAACCAGCTGGAGAGGTGGCCAAATCCCCCCCGACAGGCCTACTGTTAGACAGGGATCTAAAACTTGTCGTAGGAAGGGAACAC